CTACGGTCGACTAAAACCAAAGGAAGTAACAACACTTGGTTCTGAATTCAGTGACGCAAAATAGATCATTCAATACGTACAACCAAAGAGATTAATGGTGATGAGAAGTGGGGGCAATTGCAACAATACCGCATTCTTCTGCTTTGGTGGTACAGTACAAATGCTTCAATCAGAAGCTTTACAGATCTACAAATAGAGAGGGACTATAGAGTAACGTAATGACGTATGACTGCGCGAACTGCTTCCCACTACTCTTCATCAGTAGTCTGTTTTGTTGTAATTGGTTAGTCATTTAATGCATAATGTTGACAGATGTTTGTAAGGTGCAGCTGTCCAATAAAAAGTTAATTTAAGCAAATGCTGGAGTAGTAATATTTTACAGACAATCCTTTACTTTATTTTAGGTTAGGTTATATTCGTTATTGAAAGTAATAACTTAATGAATTCTTAATGACTTAATGATAGCGAACGGTTAATTTAGAAATTCGAAGAAGACTGTTAAAGGTCTATACCAGCAGCGTGGCGATGTGTAGGTGTGAAACATGGACGGTGAGAGTGACGGAAAAGAAAAGATTAGAAGCGTTCGATATGTAGTGCTACGGGCGAATGATGGGATACCGTGAATAGAGAAGGTTAGAAATGAAGAGCTATTAGAAACAATAGGTAAAAAAGAAATAGACGAAATAGGTTGGTAAATAGAAACAGCAGTTCAGAGGAGTAGTTGTAGACTTAGATTAGATTACTATTCACAAATAATTAAGGATGTGGGGTGTTCTAGTTTTAAGGAAATGCGAAGATTAGCTCAGGATAGGAAAGAGTGGAGGTGCGTGTCCAACCAGTCTTAGGACTGACGACCTTATGATGATGACATTAATCAAATTGCGGTTACTCAGTTATATTTAAATGATGTTACAATAAGTGTTTTAAACAATCCCATCGGAGTCCTGTCCGCAGTTCTTATGTTCTTTACAAAGATGAAAAAAGACACGGATGAGAATTTTGTTTTACAATGTTGAAGAATATTTATGACTTAACATAATGTTCATTCTTTATTATGTAATAATTATATATATTGAAAGGTCTGATGTATGCGTTTCTAAGTCAGTACTGGGTTATATAATTCTGGGTATTACATTTTTAAATTATGGATGAAAAAATGTATTTTGCATGCATTTTAAAGGAGTATTTATTCCAAGATTTAGATGGTTGAACAAGGCGGAGTCTCATAGGGAATGAACATTTATAGCGTTTTTAAAAAATAAATTCTTGTTTCTGGTACATCTATTCCTCTGTAAAAATATATGTTTTCTAGGAAACAAAATAGCTCTCCAAACATTCGTATGAAAGGAAATGCGAACATATTGTATGCATAATGTGCCGTTTGATTAACCAAGCTTAGTGGAGTCTGTATATACTTTTGTAAATATTTAAAAGCCGACATTAGCACAATATTTTTTTCTTCTTAGATTTACTGCGAACGACTCTACGATCCTAGAGGTGCTGTTTTGTTCTGAGTATTTATATGGAAATTCGAAAACATTTACTCCCACCTTATATTATATTAATATATTGGTGAAACAGCACTCGTGTTTAATTCCACTTTAATAACTTAATGTATATATATATTGCTGAAAATAATTATGTATTATTACTATTCATTTCTATAACTGTCAAGCACCTCTGTGCGTAGATATATATAAATAATTATTACTATCCCACCGCGACATTTAATTCGTTTGCTGACAGGTTATTCTATTTACCATTATTTGAAATCCATTACTTTAATGAATTATTCACAACATTGTAAACCATTACCAATAACGACCGACGCTATTATTTATAAATTAACTGATTGGAGATAAATTAGAATACAGGTGATGAAACCAAAATATATTTTATGTCCAATGATTTCAAAGGTAAAACAAAGTGTCTCTAATAAAATAATTCGAAGTGGTCTGTATTCTGTCGAAACTGCCAGTCGCGGATCACGATGTCGATCTTTTTGGATCTCATCAGCGCGTCGCAGACAGCTCCGACAGAACACACTGCGAGTCTGGCAGTTTTGACCGAATACAGACCACTTTGAATTATTTTATTCGATTATGGTAACGTGCCTATCACGTAGTGGTTAGCTATGTCGGGATTCGTTTCAGCAAGTAGATATCCATATATTTAAATGGACCTTGTTGGAGCATACGTTATCCTAAAATGTAGCATCGTACTACAGATTGCGTTTACCGCGCCATTTGTGATGTTTTCTAAAACGCGCTGTTAGGACAGCAGGTAAAAGTTGGTTTGCGTTCTTTCGGAGCTGTCTGCGATGCTCTGATGAGATCTAAAAAGACCGAAATCGCGATCCGCGTTTGGCAGTTTCGGCAGAATACAGACCACTTCGAATTATTTTATTCGATTATGGTAACATGCCTATCATGTAGTGGTTAGCTATGCCGAAATTTGTTTCAGCAAGTAGATATCCATATATACATACGTAATCCTAAAATGTAGCATCGTACTACAGATGGGGTTTACCGCGCCATTTGTGGTATTTTCGAAAGTGTCTCTAGGATTTACTATCTCATTAAAACAAAAAATAGAATGGAATTTAAAATGAGGAACAATCCATTTTTTCTTTCGATATTAAACAATTTTTGATAGACGGCGCTGATACAAAGTTTTAATTTCATGTTTTACATATAAGAGTTTTGTGAGGTTTTGTTTAAAAGCAATTTAACATGCACTTTGTTGTAGGAGTAGATATGCCCCAACTTATACTTTATTAAAAAGGTAAAAAGGTAAAAGTATGTTTAGTTTTTAAGAGAGTGGTAGTACGTCGTTATTTATATTTGATACTATTTGTAGTAATTCATAGTTCGTTGGACAGTTATTTATAAAAATTTCTCGTATAGTGCACTGATCAGAATAAATAATGTCGAAATCGCCGTAGTTGATCGATGTTTTCTTTGCGAGAAGGGGAGGACTGGGACTATTCTAGGAGTCAAAAGGCCTTTAAAGTTTAAAAAAAAAAAGCTCAACGATGATTTTTTTGAGTATGTATTAACTACACACACCGACCTTTTGTTGGTATCATTTATTGGTATCGAAAACTTTGCTTCTGTCTATAATTACTTAAATTTTTTTCGTATTGTACACATGTAAATGACATAAAGGTAATGTTTTCCTGGCTTTAATGTATTTTATAGGGACGACTTCATATGTACAATACGCGTACCGGCTTAATGAAACCACCTTGTCTGCTTTCTCTTCTATGTGTTGAAGATTATCATTCCCGGGGTTATTGGGTTAAAAAGCTTATGCTTAGGCATACAGTGGCCCTATATATTTGGGGGGCCTAGGGGGAATTCTTCCAAACTCTCTTACGGCCAGTTTGCCCCTGCTTGCGAGACATTCTATTTATGACAGTATCAACCTTACACCAATATTTGAGCAATTTACATATCCTTCAAACCAGGATCATCCACAGAATAATTAAAAATGATAACCTAATCTCTACAGAGACACTTTTCCCCATCTCGAAAATTTAAACACAAATCCAAGTGAAAATCCCTGCCAAAATCCTAAGATCCCCTAGGAATTTGAAGAAATAAATGATTAAAGATGAAAATTTATAAAAATTCTGCTTTCACAATTGAACTTTTCTTGGTAGTTAAGTAGTTATAACTCGGGCACAAACATTGTAATGGTATCCAGCGGAAGCGCAGCATCATCGAAATTTTTTTTCACCTCAGTGCACATAGGTATGTCGAAATTGACTCACGAAATTTAGCTTGCTATTAGCGATACCGTCAATAAAAGTACTGATGAAAAATGGCGAACGATATTTGAAAGTAGCAGATTAATAGAAAAGGCACAAAAAGTAAGAAGTCTGCTTTGAAGAATAAATAAAATCTAAAAATTAAGCAGCATTTTCTTTAATTTCCTGAGAATAATATATTTTTGAAGATATATGAAAAATCTAAAAAATTTGGGAACCCTTATCATATGCGAGTGAGAGCGGCTAATCGTCTAAATGAAACAATAGCACAGGACGTTGTTCAATTACATACGGGAATTGTGTGTGAAACCTTCATCGGCATCGCCACGTTCCATACACAGCGGGCCGATTCTCGGAGTCGTGGCAGATTATATTATTAAAATGACGGTCGTTCGCTCGGCACTGTGTTATAATTCATTTACTTTCTCTAACGATGTGCCCTTTCTAATGTCTTGGATGCGCGCTGGAAAAATCGTAGGTAGGGAGAAAAAAGCTCATTATACTCTGGACTCTTGTTCATTAAACATACTTTTTCATACAGTACTTGCCAAAAGTTTTGTTTAATCATGAATAGTAGTGCGAGTCGTTTTCAAATATAAATAAACATCTCGTTGATATTTTCAGTAGTAATTGGTACCAATAACAGCACTTTTGAGCAATGCAACTTTAGTGGATAAAATGTCAATTTTTCCGTGCAGTACTGTACGGATTATACGTTCCTCATCGGTTAAGAGTTTGGCCGAGAGGGGATATATATAACACTATTTATATATCTCTTTAACACAATATAAAAAAGAGACATAAAGTATTATTTTGATACCCATGAACAGAACCGCCTCCTAGGGTAATAAAAAATAAATTTTTGAATATGTAGACAATTTCTTTTAAGTTGGCAAAGAAGAAATATATGAAGCATTTTTTTGTATATTTAGAAGTAAATGATAAATTAAAAAAATTGTAGTACTATAGTGTCATATACCTAGTTTTAGTGTGTGATGATGATGTGTACTATAATTATGTGACGTCTTTTAACGCTGCGTTCGCATGAGTTTAATTTTAAATTCCTTTTTAGTTGCTTAGACTAATTTAGATTTGTATTTAGGGATTACAGAATAGCATAAAACAAGCAAGAAAGAGTCTTATTGATGGATATTGTGTATTCGTCTGCTGCGTCGTGTTACGATAAAGTTGGAGTATCTGCATAGCGTAAGCACACAGCATAGCATACCGGTTTTGAAGTTGGAAAAGTCTAGAGCTTTGTCCAAGTTTCTTGAGCACTCTCAACGTCCCCAGCAAAGCCGGCTGATAAGAGGGATTTACCGATAGAGCCTTCGAGTAAAAGATTAAAGCTGAATGCCGGCGACCTAGAAACAAAAAATACTTGCAAAAGGACAAGTTCTTGTTTTATATTTTACAATGACAAAGGACAAACGGAAAATAGAAAACAAAGACAAAAAGTGTTTCAAGAAGCTGCTAAGCTAAAAAGAAAAAGAACAAATACGTGTATGAATAGTACGGAGATGTTATTATGGCTAATCTATTTTAAAGTTTTGACGTTTTCGTATACATTAGAATAGACGCTCCCTTTTTTAATTTACATGAAAACTCCATAAATACTGAGTAGCTAGAAATTTAAAGTTTATATTCCTAGTAGTTTTCAGAAATTTTATTATGCATTCTTGAATATAGACTTCATTTTATTTAGGGGTAGAGACAAAAAATTCAAATAGATGGTATTTATTATAGTACTTCCTAAGTGGTTTATGCAAGTAGTGACAGAAATATCAGAAACTCCAAATAGCTTCACAACTACCAATTCCAACAAAAAGAAACACTTTTTATGAAGGGACTTTAAATTTGATTTTAGCCATGACCTTCAAGATTATCCGGATGCCAAGTTAAAAAATTTTTTAACTTTAACATCAAATTCGAAAAGAGAGACACTTTACATGCGAGTATGTGGTCAAGTATGGAATTATGGAGGTCTAATCAAGACCCGAGCCTGACGGTCAGTGTCTTTGATTTTTCGATTAGTTTTTGATTTCGAGAGAGGAACTGCATGGAGACCCAGGTGAAGAATTCCACCATTTAGTCATTTTTTGTATGAATATTATTATATAGTGATCTTATTTAAAAAAGGCAACAAATTTATATCTATTTCCTGCCAGTATATAAATCAACAAAATACTAAAAGTCAATATAAAATACCAAACAGTCAATATAAAAATACTTAACGGTCAGTAATAAATTAATAAGTATGTATCATTAATAACTTAAGTGCTTGTTAGGTAAGGNTAAAACGCACTGTTAAGACAGCAGGTAAAAGTTGGTCTGTGTTCTGTCGGAGCTGCCTGCGACGCGCTGATGAGATCCAAAAAAATGGAAATCGCGATCCGCGTCTGGCAGTTTCGACAGAATACAGACCACTTCGAATTATTTTATTAAAGTTGAAATAATTTTAATGGACCAAAAGTGTAGTTTTGTCAGCGGCTAATGAAATTTTTAGGCGGAATATAACGAAGTTAGTCGTTACCTCGTGAATGGTAAGCTATAATTTAAAAAGAGTACATTAAAATTATTTTAATGAAGAAATCGTAATTAGCACATGAGTCTGGTGCTCCTATCAACGAAACCAGTTCGCACAATAACTAACCAAAATTGTGGTTACTAATGTTAGCGATCTTTTTTCTCAAGGCTAGTGACAGACTTGTTAGGTATTGGGAATCATTCAGGAGGGAAGAGGAGAATGGAAATCGGAAAACAAGACTTATTTGACTTACCGATCACATAGACGTTTTATGATTCATTGTTCAATTTAAATACCAGTTTATTGCAGTAGTTTCTGACAGTGAAAAGTAGATTTAAATTACATTGGCGTTTACCACGATAAAACTGTGTGAAACGTACGACAAATGTCAATACAATCAAATTGAACAGTCATTGGCATCACCAACGAAGGCTTTCGAATCAGCGAACCATTTCAGCTGCGCTACAGAGATTGCGAGGGCCGTGGGCATCGACGCTCGAACCATCTCGTCGCAGTAGAAGACGAAACCTAGATTTGATAGAATACAACCTTCAAACTAGTACACGCAAAATATCACGGAACATTTGCTTCTTTCATATGACAGTGTGGCGAATTTTAAAAGTACAGTTGCTGCATCCTTATCATTCGCAGCGGGTGCAAGCTTTACAAGAAACTGATTTTCAGCTGCAATAGGGTAATGTTTATGGGCAAATATTCCGAGAGACGGAATTTTGAATTTCCATAATAGTTTTCAGTAAATGTGAAGTGTGGAATTTTTGGAGGTTCGCTGTTCCAGGCGTATTTGGCTTATTATAAGAGACCTACCTATTGGCCCTGTGCTCAATGTTGATTATTGTTTCAAATAAAATTTGCCAAATGCTGGACGTTTTTGCGAGAGTGAGAAATAATTTTGGTAGACCTCATAAAGCCTGCCTTGGAGCCACGCTGTTTTAATAAGGAGCAATTTGTGTACTGTACGCATGTGTATATGCTTACTGGTGTTTCCAAAACCAATGTCGATAAGGAAGCGGCATGTTTTGTTTCTGTTTACTTAGGCGTTGGACGACCGGTATTGTTTAGTTTACATTCTATCCATGTGCTGCTGCTCAGTTCTGATAGCAATTTGTTGTACAAACTGCACGTACGCTGCCAAATCACGCTTCGGATTGTAACATGTTGTAGTTCTCTTACTACTTTTTTAGTCCTTTAGCCATGCTGTTATTGAAACCTTCTAAATCGCCACACTTATTTCCGAAACACCCTATACATTCACTTTATAGTTTATAGTATAATTAAATGTAGCTGCTTTAGTACTAAAATAATTCATAAAAAACACTAAGTTCTGTGTTTAGAGTAACTTGTAATGAGCGTAGATTGTTTTATTTTAGTTTTATGGGCTGCAAATTCGTTTTTGATTTGGTGCGATATAAGAAGATAGATGATGTTTCCTTATGTTAGCCTTTGTGAAGTGTATGATTTATAACTATTTGGTAGATGCTGGTATAGATGGTTATAAATTATCAATTACCAAAATTAAATAATGTGAAAATTATTGCCAAGAACATTTTACAAGCTATTGTTTCTTTTCGTAGCCAAATTACAATGTGGTTATCAGTGGTTAGAAGATGTAATATTTCAAACGAGTAATGCAGTTGATGTTGTAACAACCTTAGATTTCCTTCAAGTTGGTTTTTGGGGGCTATATCAAGAGATTGTACCTACTTACCGCGATAATTCTCTCAGGGTACAAAAACCTATAATTAAGAAATATAAGAATATCGGTGAAATATGTGTTTTCATGAGAAAGCAAGGTAAGGGGACAAAATATGCCGATTTCTACGGTCGACTAAAACCAAAGGAAGTAACAACACTTGGTTCTGAATTCAGTGACGCAAAATAGATCATTCAATACGTACAACCAAAGAGATTAATGGTGATGAGAAGTGGGGGCAATTGCAACAATACCGCATTCTTCTGCTTTGGTGGTACAGTACAAATGCTTCAATCAGAAGCTTTACAGATCTACAAATAGAGAGGGACTATAGAGTAACGTAATGACGTATGACTGCGCGAACTGCTTCCCACTACTCTTCATCAGTAGTCTGTTTTGTTGTAATTGGTTAGTCATTTAATGCATAATGTTGACAGATGTTTGTAAGGTGCAGCTGTCCAATAAAAAGTTAATTTAAGCAAATGCTGGAGTAGTAATATTTTACAGACAATCCTTTACTTTATTTTAGGTTAGGTTATATTCGTTATTGAAAGTAATAACTTAATGAATTCTTAATGACTTAATGATAGCGAACGGTTAATTTAGAAATTCGAAGAAGACTGTTAAAGGTCTATACCAGCAGCGTGGCGATGTGTAGGTGTGAAACATGGACGGTGAGAGTGACGGAAAAGAAAAGATTAGAAGCGTTCGATATGTAGTGCTACGGGCGAATGATGGGATACCGTGAATAGAGAAGGTTAGAAATGAAGAGCTATTAGAAACAATAGGTAAAAAAGAAATAGACGAAATAGGTTGGTAAATAGAAACAGCAGTTCAGAGGAGTAGTTGTAGACTTAGATTAGATTACTATTCACAAATAATTAAGGATGTGGGGTGTTCTAGTTTTAAGGAAGTGCGAAGATTAGCTCAGGATAGGAAAGAGTGGAGGTGCGTGTCCAACCAGTCTTAGGACTGACGACCTTATGATGATGACATTAATCAAATTGCGGTTACTCAGTTATATTTAAATGATGTTACAATAAGTGTTTTAAACAATCCCATCGGAGTCCTGTCCGCAGTTCTTATGTTCTTTACAAAGATGAAAAAAGACACGGATGAGAATTTTGTTTTACAATGTTGAAGAATATTTATGACTTAACATAATGTTCATTCTTTATTATGTAATAATTATATATATTGAAAGGTCTGATGTATGCGTTTCTAAGTCAGTTCTGGGTTATATAATTCTGGGTATTACATTTTTAAATTATGGATGAAAAAATGTATTTTGCATGCATTTTAAAGGAGTATTTATTCCAAGATTTAGATGGTTGAACAAGGCGGAGTCTCATAGGGAATGAACATTTATAGCGTTTTTAAAAAATAAATTCTTGTTTCTGGTACATCTATTCCTCTGTAAAAATATATGTTTTCTAGGAAACAAAATAGCTCTCCAAACATTCGTATGAAAGGAAATGCGAACATATTGTATGCATAATGTGCCGTTTGATTAACCAAGCTTAGTGGAGTCTGTATATACTTTTGTAAATATTTAAAAGCCGACATTAGCACAATATTTTTTTCTTCTTAGATTTACTGCGAACGACTCTACGATCCTAGAGGTGCTGTTTTGTTCTGAGTATTTATATGGAAATTCGAAAACATTTACTCCCACCTTATATTATATTAATATATTGGTGAAACAGCACTCGTGTTTAATTCCACTTTAATAACTTAATGTATATATATATTGCTGAAAATAATTATGTATTATTACTATTCATTTCTATAACTGTCAAGCACCTCTGTGCGTAGATATATATAAATAATTATTACTATCCCACCGCGACATTTAATTCGTTTGCTGACAGGTTATTCTATTTACCATTATTTGAAATCCATTACTTTAATGAATTATTCACAACATTGTAAACCATTACCAATAACGACCGACGCTATTATTTATAAATTAACTGATTGGAGATAAATTAGAATACAGGTGATGAAACCAAAATATATTTTATGTCCAATGATTTCAAAGGTAAAACAAAGTGTCTCTAATAAAATAATTCGAAGTGGTCTGTATTCTGTCGAAACTGCCAGTCGCGGATCACGATGTCGATCTT